TTCTGAAGCAAGAAGCACTCCCTTCGGTCCCTGAGTAAGCATCTTCTCTTCCATTAATCGTCCCTTTCCAGGGGACCTTTCAGGTTTCTGGTCCTGCCTTGAGCATGTGAGAGGAGCCCCTTGCCAGCCCGCATCCTGTACTGCGGCAGACGTCTTCATCTAACAAATTCCTGTTGTTATGGTGAAGTCACAGAGGGAGCGGGGAGAAAGGTGTTTTCAAATCTCAGCCTCCTCTGGCTTCAGCTTCATATAAGTTACAAGGGCCCTACTGAGGTAAAGTACCATCTGTCCCCATACTCTGAGGCTGCCCTTTGTACCAAACCAGCAGCCTCTTAATGACAAAGTTTAAAGGCACAAGTGCTGAATGGGTACCTCCTAGAGACAAGAAGCTGCATTATAATAACCGTGTACCCACCAAATGCAGGCATGTGTCACACGTCTGACAGATGCAAATACGTGTGGGCATCTTTTCATGGTCCCATCTCCTCCTGGTGGGAGGACAGAGCCTTGCACACTGTCCTGGTCTCCATCCAGTCACGCCAAAGACCTCTGGTGAGAGTCTGAGTAATTTGCTTAGCCCTTGCTCCTCTTCTGAAAGCAAGTTAACTCTGGGCTTTTTAAACATGCTATATGCTACAAACAACGCATGAAGAAAATTGGGTGTTTTGGGCTTATTGTACTTGAAGCAGTTCATCTCCTTGTTTTGGGGTACAAACTATCATCTTTAAAGACAGAGAGAAGCTTTCCTCTGAGTTTCAGGGGTGGAAACCACCAATGTAACATTGCAGAATATGATTTGAGACTTTTTTCTTCCTGGGGATTTTCTGGGGTTTGTTCTGGATTTCTAGGTTTTTTTCTTCACACCTTTTTTGGGGAAGCTATCTAATACAACTGAGACAGCTTTCACAAAAGTAGATCATGTTTCCTGAGAGACATTCAGCAGGATGCCCAATGCAGCTCTAGGGATGCTTTTAGGAAAGTTCATGTCATTCCCACCCTTATCAGTAAAAGTCACATGCAGATAAAAAGGGGAGAACTGAGACATTTAGTGTTGGATTAGTTCCTCCCAACACACAGAATGAAAAGTTAGTCAAGGCCTGTTAAAGTCCCTCTGCCTTAGAAATAATGAAACTGGTGTACGGTGGTTATCAATGGCTGGATTACTGCCTTCAGTGTTCTAGCTGTATAAACTATCTTCCTGTTGCTCACAAGCAAAGGGAGAGTGAACCAGGCACTGTTTACGTAGTGCTATAGCTGAGATTGTGCAAAATGGAGAGTGCATTTCAACACGGCACCTTCATAGACTCACAAGAGTCCACATGCAACACAAAGATCAGCGGGGTGATACAGGTGCGAGTAAGTATCACAGAGAAACATCACTCATTTGGCTCAAACTCATTCAAACAAGCAGAAAAATAAAGTTTACACAATCCCTATCAGCTTCAACATGCGTGCTGGCACTTGTGATGGTGTCTGGGAAAAGCCAGTTTCAGCTATTTTGGCTGGCATTTGAGCAAAGCATCAACACTTTTAAGGACCACAACCAAAGAAGGTTCTTTCAACAGAAAATTAGCAGTGAGTCTGCTTCTCTTGTTTTGTAAAACAAGCAGGGAAGCAGGTGCATGAGGATGTTCTCAGAGGTCCTTTAGCAGGGCTCACAAATATCGCTGTGGTTCCTGGGTCTCTTTGTTCCAGCCTGTTGTCTTTCCTTCAGTTTCCTGGTTCATAGCAAGAGCACAGAACAGCACCTCTCTCCTGTCTTCATGACAAAATGAAGTGTTAAGTGACTGGCTTGCAGTGCTTGTCCTGCAACTCCACACCATGTGTCTGTCAGTCTAGTTTAAACACTGGCAAGTTCTGTCTACAGCAGATCTCTCTTCATGTGTGTGAAATGTTGGGGAGCATTACAAAAAGTACTAACAACTGAGAGACACAAGGTCTCAGTAACAGAATTTAAACTTAAGTGTTTCACTTGTGCAAAACTAATTCAGAAATTATTTAAACATCAGACTCCTTGCTTGTGTGAGGTCTCTTATAAGTGGCTGTAATTAGACTAGAAATGCTGAACAAGCAACAAAAAGCATTGTCATTTTTGTCAGTGACTTGGACAGTGGGATCAAGTGCATCCTCAGCAAGTTTGCCAACAACACCGAGCTGTGCAGTGAAGTAGACACGCTGGAGGGAAGGGATGCCACCCAGAGGGACCTGGACAGGCTTGAGAGGTGGGCCAGTGTGAGCCTCATGAAGTTCAACAAGGCCAAGTCAGCTGGTTAAAACATGGTGCCAATAACACCAAGCCTGTGGGTTCGATCCCTGTACAGGACATTCATTTAAGAGTTGGACTTGATGATCCTTGTGGGTCCCTTCCAACTCAGAATATTCTGTGATTCTGTGAAGTGCAAGGTCCTGCACCTGGTTTGGGGCAATCCCAAGGACAAACACAGGCTGGGGAAAAATGGATGGAGGGCAGCCCTGAGGAGAAAGACTGAGGGGTGTTGGTTGATGAGAAGCTCAGCATGACCCATCAATGTGAGCTTGCAGCCCAGAAAGCCAATTGTATCCTGGGCTGCACCAAAAGCAGCATGGCCAGCAGGTCGAGAGAGGTGATTCTGCCCCTCTACGGTGCTCTTGTAGACCCCATCTGCAGTGCTGCGTTCAGTTCTGGAGACAAAAGAAAGCCATGGATCTGTTGGAGCAAGTCCACAGCAGGGCCACAGAGATATCAGAGGGCTGGAGCATCTCTCTTAAGAAGACAGGCTGAGAGAGTTGGACAGCCGGGAGAAGAAAAGGCTCTGGAGGGACCTTATAGCACCTTGAAGTACCTAAAGAGGGCCTGCAAGAGAGCTGGAGAGGGACTTTCTGTAAGGGCATGTAGTGAGTGGACAAGGGGAGAATGGCTTTGAGATGAAAGAGGATGGGTTTAGATTAAATATTAGGAAGAAATTCTTCACTGTGAGGATGGTGAGGCACTGGAACAGGTTGCCCAGAGAAGCTGTGGATGCCCCATCCCTGGAAGTGCTCAAAGCCAGGTTGGATGGGGCTCTGAGCAGCTTGGTCTTGTGAAAGGTACCCCTGTCCAGGGCAGCAAGGTTGGAACTAGATGATCTTTAAGATCCCTTCCAACCCAATTCATTCTACGATTCTATGAAACTGGGTGGCAACACCAGAGGAGGAAGAACAATAGTCATGGAACATTGCTAAACTGTAGAGTGAGGAAAGGACACAAGGGTAGGGAGGGGACACTGCTGTTGTATCATTTCCACTGGCAGTGGAGAGGTATTTCCACACATGTAATGTATACATGTAATAGTGTTCAAACACATTTTTACTGGTTACTGCATGGTTAAATGCTTTGCTACGTACAATCATCTCCTGTTGAATCTCTGCCTGAGATAACCTGTGGGTTATGGGACCTTCTTTCTCATGTCCAAGTCTCACCTTTGAACTTTATTTTACCTGGCAGTCACCTCTGATGTTTTATTTCAGTAAAGGAAACAGGCATATTTTGTTTCAGAAAATATAATGTTGTTTTCTTGTACTTTCATTTCAGCAACCTATGTGCAAGTGGTCAAATCCTCTGGATTCCAGAAAACTGATTCCCGTAGCCCCACGTTCCACCCAGTTGACTTGAGGTAGAATCAATTAATCTGTCAACAGCTCTTAAACCATCACAAAGTTACCACACCAGTTAATGAGGGAGAGGGTAAAACAAAAATATAATAAAAACAAAAGTATAATGAAGATAGCTTCCCATTTTTGCTCAGCTTGGTGAAGCAGATAGGAATCTGAATTGCTAAAACAATTTTCTGCCTTTCCCTCTATGGTGCTACTAGTAGTTACTGTGTCAAAATAATTTCCTCCTTTTCTTGCCCCTCGCTCTCAAAAACATTAAAAAATAGGAACTTCAAGTTAATGTTAAGAATTGAAGCTTAAAACAAGACTTCCCTGCCAAAAGTACTCTTATGTTTTAGAATACATACAGCATTCAAAGTTTCTCCCTTGTATCAGTATTAACAATGTGCATTTTAATAAATTGCTTACTATAAATAATAATAGTAATAATAAAATAAATGCTAGAGGAAAAAAAAATCCCTCAGGTTTCATTGCAGCTGTGAATACCAGAGGTGGGAATTTATGTACAAATGCTAACTATGCAGCAGCTTAGCTGGCGGCTTTATTTCATAGAATCATAAAATGGTTTGGGTTGGAAAGGGATCTTTAAGATCATCTTAAAGATGATCAACCCCCATGCCATGGACAGGGACACCTTCCACTAGATCAGGTTGCTCAAGAACCCCACCCAACCTGGCCTTGAACACCTCCAAGGATGGGGCATCCACAGCTTCCCTGGGCCTCCTACTTCAGTGTCTTACAACCCTCATAGTAAAGATTTTTTCCCAATATCTAATCTAAACCTACTCTCAGTTTGAACCCATTCCTCCTTGTCCTGTCACTACATGCTCTTGTACATAGTCTCTCTCCATCTTTCTTGCAGGCTCCCTTCAGGTCACCCCAAAGCCTTCTCTTTTCCAGGTTGAACAATCCCAGTTCTTTTAGGCTTTCCTCATAGGAGACGTGCTCCATCCCTCTGATCATCTTGGTGGCCCTCCTCTGGACTTGGTCCAACAGGTCGATGTCCTTCCTGTGTTGGAGACGCCAGAGCTGGATGCAGTACTCTAGGTGGGGTCTCACCAGAGCACCAATTATATATTTAATACATAATTACCATTACCAGTAATGATAGTAAAGGCAGCCTGGAAACGATCTCGCGTACCACGGTGCCACCTTCAGGAAGCCCGTGACGTGGCTCTCGTCGCCATGCGCACACCGCGCTGTGCACCACTCGCTTTCCCACAGCGTCGCGGCCCGTCCCCGCTTTTCCCATGGCGGGGTTCACCCACCTCCCCGGCTCCGGCTGGGATGCTGCCCTGGCGCCTCGCCTGCCGCGCCCCGTGACCGCGGCGAGCGGGGCGTTGCCGGCGGCGGGTCCCGCCCCGGCCGTCGCCCCGGCGACGGGGCAGAGCGGCCCGGCCGGGAGAGGCGGCGGGCGGAGCGGGGGGCTCGCCGGGGATCGCCCGGTGGCACCGCCCGCAGCGCCGCGGTGAGTGGGCGGCTGCGCTCGGGGGCGACGGGAAGGGTGGAGAGAGGTGGGTCTCCTCGTCACCCGGGGGCTGGGTCGTCCTGGGGGTCCTTCCCAGGATGAAGGAGGTGCTGGTTTAGGGTGGAGCGGGAACAGCCCCGGGGGCTGTTATCTATCCCTGAACAGGATGGCTGCTCCCTGCCCCCAGGCTGGTTTGGGGTGGGCCGGCTCGCTGGTGGGCTTCGCTCGCGTGTGTAGGGAGCTGTCCCGCTGTAGTGCTGGGGTTGGGAGAGACGGCGCTGCTTTGGGTGTGGAGCCTGCAGAGAGAGGGATCCTGCCTGCTTTGACTTCAGTAGATCAGGTCCTGGCCTTGATGGACTGAGATGCCCAGGGTTAACGAAAGAAGGTGAATTTTTATTTTTGGGAGAACCGGGGTGAAACTTGCAGGCCGGGTGGTGCTGAGTTGCATAGCCTGCGTGAGCACGAGGAGTGCTGAGCTCCCCTTTCTGCTGTGAGCGTGTGTTAAGGAAGGTACTCTCTTGGGAAGTGATTGAACGTCATCAGGTGAAACTAAAGTGGAAAGAAGCGTTTGTTTCCATTCTCAAGACTGAGAGGGGGATCTCATTAACGCATAGAAATATATCAAAGGCAGGTGCCGAGAGGATGGTGCCAGACTTTTTGGTGGTGCTCAGTGACAGGATGAGGAGCAGTGGCCATAAGCTAAAGCACAGAAAGTTTTACCTCAACAAGAGGAAGAACTTCTTTATGTTGAGGGTGGCAGAGGACTGGAACAGGCTGCCAATGGAAGTCATGGAGGATCCCTCTCTGGAGATATTCCAAACCCACCTGGATGTGCTCCTGTGTAATGGTGGTTGGACTAGATGATCTTCAGAGGTCTCTTCCAACCTTAACAATTGTGCGAATCTGTGATTTATTGAAACTTACAGTGGTGTGGAGATGATGAAAGATGAATAGTTCATGTTCCTTCTGGACACTGTGCAAGGCTGGAGACTTCAAGGTCCAGCAGCACTGAAACCATTGCTGTCCTGAAACTTGCTGTACTACTCACTGCATCGCAGGAAGAGGTTTCACGAGGGTGGGAAAAGGTAGCCTTGCTGTCATGGATGAAGCATCCTGAGAAAGTTGTTGTGAATCATTTTGGTTTGAAACCAAAGCTGGTTTGGAAGAAAACAAGGGAAAATACTCAGAGCAAACTCGAATTCTTCCTTTTTGATGTGCTCCATCCTAAAGGCCTGATTCAAACAAATGAAACAATATACTAGACTTTTGAAGAGACTTTTAAAAAAATTTATTTAAGACAGTCTATTTAAAAGTACAAATATTTACTGTCAATGCTATTGACTTCTTTCTTGCAGCTGAGAGTCAGGCTTTTAAATAACTGCTGGTCTTTGATTAGAGTAATGGATTTGTGGTAATCTCCAGAACTGGATCCACCTGTCATGGGATCTGATTACTGTCAGCCTTAGTAATACACAGTCACTACCAAGAAGGCTCTTGTAGCACCAAATTGTTTGTTGTTTAATGGTTGAGTTGGGTTGGTTGTTTTTTTTTTTACTTTTAAAATTTGTATCAGCATACATTCTGTACTATGCAGTACTGCCAGTTTTGATCATTGAGAATAGTACCATCCTCTGCGAACACTTTTGGCGATTTCAGGATTACTGTAAACAGGTTGGTGAGATTGAGTTGTGGGTGTTCTGCTTATCTGTGTGGGAGGTCTTAGTTGGGTCATATATCCTAGTTTCTGTTTATTTGAGAGTAGCCTGTTTAGCATGCAACTATGAAATGGCTGGTAACGTGTAGTGCTTGTACAGAAGAAATGTGATGCAGGTGATTTGCAGGTGATTTGCTGTTATTCATTGCATTTTGAAATGTAATTCAGGCAACTAAAACAATTTCAAATTGTTGCTAGTGCTTAAAGCACCATTAATATAGTAAAAGTGAAATTCTGCTTAAATTACTTAGTATTTGTTCAGATCCTCTAAATTTACATAAATTGTAGATTCTGTCAAGCTATTGTATTTTGTCCTCTATTTGTCCCTTGCTTTAATCCTTCCTTAATCCTATGTGAAGAGATTATGCACAGTGTGTCATTAAGAGTATAAAACAAGCTGTTGTTTAGAGTAGGATTTCTCTTTCCAGTTTGGTAGCTGACTATTTTGATAATTTTACATTTTAGAGCTTCATATCACTGGGGAAATAATAGTATATAAGCATTAGAATGGGAAAGGCCACTTCAGAGGCTTGTGCTAACCAGAAAAGCTAGATTGAGCCCTTGCTTTCCCTCAGGTTGGTAAGAAAGAGAAAACTGAACTGCACATTTGAAAAAGACAATATAGAGAGACCACTGAGAAAAAAAAATTCTCACCTGAGCTGGGTACATGTGGATTAAAGTGCAAAGTATGCAGGAGTCTGTAGTGAAATGTGAATCTCTAGAGCATTTAGATTCTAACTCATTGTACTCTGTAACTCCATTAAAAGTGAAAGAAGCCTCTGATCCTGATGTCAGATCAGGCTGAAAAATGCAAGTGCTTGGCAGCCTCGTTTGTTCTAATATGGGTGGGCAGTGGCAGTAAGTTTTGCAGGAATCAGTGCTGCCTTTTTTTGGTCAGCAAACCTCTGTCACCCTCCAGCATTTCCTACAGACTATGGTGTGCCATAACATTGCTGTAAATTTGACCGCTTAGTGTCCAAAGAACCCTATCAGGTTTTTTAGATACATGTGTATGATGAATGTATTCTCTTAAAAGCTGGAAAAGAGCTTATTTTCCCACTGCATTTGGCTAGTTTTCATTTGATGATGTCTCACTGTAAGAGTTCCATTGTTTGCCTTTCTTTTGTAAACTGTAAGTGCCAAGACAACTCTTTAATGAGAGTCAATAGTGGAATGGCCTAGTGTGCATCATTGTGGTGGTAGGTATGCAGTACATAGACATTGTTACCAGGGTACATAGTTTTCACACCCTGTTTTGTGCATTTACATAGAGTAGATTTGACACTTCCATTTGATTATCAAAGGAATATGTTGACTTTTCTATACTTTACTTGATTTTGTGCCCTAAAAAATTACAATAAAGAGAAGAAAAGGAATAAGGAAATAAAATATATTACAGAACGGACTAAATGCACAATCACACACCCAATACAGAACTTCTGGAGGGGAAATTATACAGAACTTCTGGAGGGGAGAACTACTTTATGTGATGTTGTTTCAAGGGCACATGCCAAAATATTAGTATTGGACAAAAGGAATAATTGTAAGAGCATGTGATTTATATGTACTCCAAAGAAAATTACTTGGAAAGCTGGTAGGGTTTAGGCACCAAAATTAGAGAACTTAAAGGTTAAAACTTGAGAGTTGTGTCTAGATCTGGGTCTGTTTATTGCATATACAGAGGTTTTCATCTTGGTTTTTTTGGTTTGCTTTGTTAGAGAGCAAAAGATTGAAAATGAAATGTGTGCAAATTCTCCAGATTTTTAATGTAACTTCAGGAGTTCAAGCTAGGGCCATCTTTGGCAGATATTGCTAAATCCCCTCCAAAAAACATGCCTTAAGCAATGTACAATGATATTTGTTGAAATGGAGAAACACAGGCACCCAAAATTTGTTACATTTAAGTTTACTTCACATTATATGCCTATGTATACCTATAAACAAAATGAATACACAGTTTATCATTGACGATGCTTTAAATGTGATGCTGTGTTTTAAAATGGGTATAAGAATACCTTCAGAATGTTTTTATGTTGATCTGGTTTTTTTAATATATACATAAAACCAAACTTTGACAACTTGCAAGATGGACATGCAGAATGTATCTTAACTTGGAGTAAACACTTGATCATCTGCTTATTACTGGAGTAAAAAAATAGTCTTGTTGAAGAAATGGCAATACTGAGAGTATTAAAGACTTCAGTGTGTGCAGGCATTTTGGGGAACGAGACATAAAGCTGAACTCTGAGAAAAAAGCAATAGGCTTAAATATATGAAAGTCCAATTTAAAATCTAGTTACAATTTGAGATGTCTATGACTGTTACTTTTTGTTAAATCTGCTTTTTAGCTTTGTTTCAGAATATGTTATTAACCAGAAATCATATTTTACTATAGTGATGGCTTTGGAGGGAAGGTATAGAGGGGGGTGTGTAAAAACATCTTTGTATTTTTCAATGCCAAAGTGGTGGTTGTCTGGTGCAAAGATTATAGACTGAGACGTCCACTAAGTCACTTGGTACTGGCATCTTGACAGCTGATGTGAGATTCCTTCCTGGCAACAGAAGCAATAAGAGTAACACTGTGTGTTACAACTGCTCTGAGGAAGCAGCATTTCAACTAACAATAGCTTAGAAACATTGGTCTACTGTTTAGGCAGATGTTTACACAGCAGGCTAGTAGACTTGAGAATGCATTGTTCACACTCCCAAGAGGCCAATTTTAATGTTAAATTTTGCCAGGCCTGTAAATCTCAAGCCTGAGGCTTGTTATCAGCTGAATTTGAGTTCCTTAATCTGTTTGGACAGGACAGCCTGTAGCTAATTCTGGCATAAGGCTAAGGAGTACAGAGTTGCATGCTGAATTCTGCATCTCCTATAAAGGTAGGCTGACTGTGTGTTTCATTGACTTGAGCTATATTTTGTGTTTTCAGACAACAGAGGCAAAAGGTAGAGACAATGCTATTACTCAGCATTCAGTGGTTTGTTTGTGTGTTGGCATTTGGGTTATGGTGAGTAAATGGTACAGTGATAGGTTGTTAGTTTTTCCTAGACTTGCATAAATAAGTGGATGACTACAGTGAGTTTGCCTGAGTGCCTTAACTGCCTGCGTGTCAGTTTTTAGGATTGTGTCCAAAGTGCAGCCAGTGCTTGGCTGGAATTTAGGATTTGTGCATAGGACCTATGGCAGCTGGCCTTCATCTGACACACTGGTGATGGTATTGTGTATAATGAAACCTGGGGTTCAGATTCAAGTTTGGATCAGGATTCAAATTAAGATTTACATATATTCAAAGATGATCGTTCAGCATTGCTCAGTGTGAATTCTTTTCCGAATGTTAACTCAGATTTAGTCTTTTACACCAATGCACGTGAACTCTATACTTCTCTCTGCAGGCCTTGTAAAACTGAAGAATAAACTTAACTCTTCAGCAATTACCATGTCTCTAAGAATTATGGGAACTTCAGAGCAAGATATCCAAGTACATTTATAACAATTCAGTTTACCTTAGTGAAGAATGAAGTGGTTATCTCGCTGCTTCACCTCCCTTCCTCACTAACTTTTTAAGCACAGAAATCCTGCTTTCACTACCAATCCAAAATAGTGTTGAGACCCTAGGTTTACCATGGCACCCTGTGCAAAATTTGGGTTTCTATGTTATCCAAAACTTAAACTGTGCCTTTGTTACAGATCAGGAAGCTGCTACTGTCTGCAAATTCAGAGAAAGGAGTTCCATCAGAATACACCAGCCTTAGACACACTTCTCTTGTTCTATGGAATAATGACAGTAATCTTAGCTCTTCAGTCTCTGCTTACTCTAACCCTAATCGTACAGTAGGTACTTTCTGTGATTTGAAGGATTTAAAGGAACTCATGACAATCAAGTATTCTACTTAAAGAACACATACAGTTCTGGAGGGGTAGTTTGATACAAATAGTAGTGTCTCTTTTCTAAAATCTTGGAAAATTATGTAGTTTACTTTTTTTTTTTATTTTATTTTAAGGATCTATGTCAGAATGACCATGTTCTTGTGTCTCTTATACTTCATATCTGGATCTCAAAGTAGCTGTAGTTTGGGGGAGGACCAGTGAATATCCTGCTCCGTTATGAGAAGCACTCACCAACATAAAGCAATCTGGAAGAAGATTTCTCTTAAGAAAATCAAAGAGCATAGAATCCTTTAATAAAGCAGAAGACACTGAGAATTTCATAAGCTTTTGGCTATCCGAGTCTTAAAAGAAATGAACCGTTACACAATTATGAAACAACTAGGTGATGGCACCTATGGCAGTGTGTTGATGGGGAAGAGCAACGAGTCAGGAGAACTTGTGGCTATCAAAAGGTATGTAGCATCTCAATTCAGTAAACGTACTTGCAAAATCTTAAAGATTTTCACTTCTAACTTTATTGTTGTCTTTCATTTGTGTAGGATAGAAAAAATGCCCCTTTTTAAAAGGAACTTAACAAAATTATTTTTTTTAATTAAGGTGTTTAATAAGATGCTTGTGAGTCAGACTTCAGCTAATATCAATAGAGAGGCACATCAGTTTAAGTTACTGATTTATCTTGGCTTACAAGATTGCATGCTGTTTTGTTCAGTTTGAATATGCTTTCTTCTAAGAAGGTTGTCAGGCTAACACCAAAGGAGAAGCAAAACTGAATGTGCAGTTGATTAATTAGGGAGTTTATTTATATGACTTGTAAGAATACCAGTCTTAATGGGTAGATTTAAAATACCTTCCAACCCCCTAATCTTTGTAAATACTGCATTAAGTTTCATGTGTTGCTACAGTGATAAATAACAGCAACAATCTGGTCAGGTAAATAAAGGCTGTCTCCTTGGATCTAATGAAGTTGTGTTATGTGTAATCATGAGCTTTGTCATACTTGCCTTAAAAGATGATTCCAAAACAACAATTTATTAGAGGAATGGGGAAGTTCCACGTGAAATTCCTAGGGAATTGCAAGCAGAATATAAAGCATAAATTGAAATACCTGAAATTGTATCTTGCTGAGACTCTTTTTCCTTATTCATGGATTTACTGCACTAAGTTAATTGTAATATAATTTACTGACTTTCTCTTTAAGAATTTCTGAGAATTTCAGGTTTCTCCATATCTTGCTAGTACTGTTACTGAAGTTAATATTAATCTAACCTAAAGAAAACAAAATCTCCAGCTGATAATTTTTATTATTTTTTGCAAAAGGAACAACATTTTGTGTGAAGTGTTTTTCATTCTCATGATTTCAGGATGTGTGATTTTTAAGTTTGGGATTTGAGAGGGGACAGTTTTGGTTGAAGATACTTTTATTTTGAATGAAAATCTTGGGTTTAAATCTCTTCGCTTTAGGTGCTAGAACTTTACAGAAACACAGCAGTGACATTCACAACCCTGTCCCAAGATCTGAGCAAAACCAAATATCCATATCTGGATGTATGCAAGACATACAAATAAATGTATTACACTGTTATGTACAACAATTAGTTTAGAGGCATATGTATGTATAATGTTGCCTGAAAAAAATGAAACTTTTTTTTTTGTAATTAATACCTTGGAACAGATTTTTAAAATGACTGGTTAAGTTAGATGCTTAATTATAATGGTAAGCAGTCCAGACACCTTGCAGATTTTAAAAGTATGATTTTCTTGTTTCCCTAGAATGTGCAACTTAGGCATAAGGATGTGATTTTCCATGTTTTACATACAGTGTCATCATTGCTTACCATATTATTAAGAGCACAACTCCAATAATACAAAGGGATTTTGTGTCCCTTATACTTTGGACTAACATGGTCTCTGGCTGTACTTCTCTAAAAGTATGTTTTGAGTGTTTGATGATTAATCACTGCAAATTTATAGCAATTCTAAGTGTTGAGCTGGTTTTTAATAATATTGCTGATGGGTATACTTGAATTATTTAAATTGAGGTCAAAATACAGGTAATGCTGCACTTAGGAAATAACATGTTTGGGTTTTTTATTCTAAAAGCATTTTGTACTGTTCACTGAAAATATTTTATCTCGGAATTGTATTTCAGAATGAAAAGAAAGTTCTATTCATGGGATGAATGTATGAATTTGAGAGAAGTCAAGGTAAAGTCGTGAACAGACCATGTTTAAAAATAAGTGTCTTGTTAGGCTTGCATGAAGGAAAAGGGCAGCTGCAATGTCCAAGCATAAGGCCAAACTCTTTAAATGGCGACAGATTTCACAAAACCATGGGCTGCTCTTACTTTTAGAGGTCCTGCTGCTTTGTGGAATACCCTACAGTGGGCCACTCAAGCAGTGGCCCTGTCTCACAGCCAAGCCTCTTGTCTCTGAGAGAAGATAAAGAAATTGGTTTTGTATGTGTATATTCCTGTGGTTGACTATCCTGCTCTTTCATTTTATTTGCAGATTTCTAGGTATATCTCCATTCTTTATATTTTGCATTTGGGGCATTTGTAGAAAACACTGGGATATTTGGCTAGCCAAGTGATAGAATAACACTTGAAATCCTGGGCTTAAATTCCGTATTTTGGGCACCTGGGCATTTTCTGTATATACAAAACTCCCTAACAAAGGAGTTTAGATTTAACTTGTTGGAGGTTTCACATAATCAGTATATCCAAAAAGTACATCCATAAGAAAATCCTTGTTCATTAAAGTCTCATGCCAAAAAGGAAAAAAAAATGAATGCTGGGTTTTTATTCAGTTCAGTGAGCAAGAGCTGTTACAGCTTCAGATCTGTCTTTCATTGTAGGGAATTAGGTTTTTATGCTAATCTTTGCTCCAGCTCTGATGTAATCCCTACAAATAGGTTTAAACTACTATTAATATAGTTGTTGGTTTTATTTTGAAATTAAACTGCTATTTTGTTGTTCTTTGAAACAGACATTATGGGATAAGTAACAGTATCAGATGAACATGTTTTGTGTATTCTGTACTAGAAACTTACATGTTAAAAATTTAGTTCTGATAAGGAATCAAGGTCACTGTGGAGTTATCTGAAGCCATATTTTGCTCTGTTACAGTCTCTGAAGAAGCTAAACCATGCCAATGTAATAAAATTGAAAGAAGTCATACGAGAAAATGACCACCTTTACTTTGTATTTGAATATATGAAGGAAAATCTCTATCAGTTAATGAAGGATAGGTATGTCTTTTTTCACAGAACAAGCAATGTGCTATCATGCTTTATTTAATGATTCTCATACTACCTTGAAGACCACGTTGGAATTTCTGGTTTTGGCTCTTCTTGCAGCCCTATTGATGTTAACAGGAGTTGCTGCACCTGCTTATCTGAGGGTAGAATTCTGCATTGCTCTGTGTTACAAGATTGCATATTTTAATGCTTTTGGAAATAAGTTTGATCAGTTGTTAACGTGATAGTTTGCATGCCTTTGTGTAGACTCATGAGAGAAATTCCAAATACTTTTTTTTTCTTTAATAACCTTCACTTTAATGTATAAAGGATTGGATAAGCACTGTTCATTCTACTTTTGCTCATGGGTTTGGCTTAATGTGGGGATGCTTATGTGCGTGTACATGCATAAAACCAACCGATATATAGATTAACACTGATGTTGCAATCTTGGACAAACAGTACATAGCAAGACTTGCAAGGTGGACTTTGGAATAGGATCTGTCTTTGCAGTAACATCTTTCTTTGCAGAATGCTTTTGCTTGTAATGTGTGTTTCCTTCAGACTTTGTCATGCACTTTTACCTCCTAATGTGCCGAGCTCTTGGGCTGATGTCCTGCGATAGCTGCTAGCAGTACTAGCACAGAGTTACTTTGCAGCTGAGCAGCACTGCTCTCAATCAGGGTTCCCTTAAGGGTACCACTGGGTGACACCCCTACCAACAGTGCTCACTGTGTGATGTCTGCCTTGCTGCGTTACTGTGCATTCCATGTTCACCTGGTCAAGCACACTGCCAGCCAGCCAGCTTCTACAGAGGGATAGGATCATGAACCTCTCAGCAGAGGAGTTCCTCTGCAGCACTTACAGTGAGTGAAACTAAGGTCTGGTAGAGTTTTGAAGTGAGCTAGTTGAATATGTCTTATTTTTGTGCACAAGACTTGATGTGTCATGCAAAATGAAGAAATGAGTGTGTTCTGAAGATACATTATTTTTTCTTAATTACATGAAGTTGTTACTCTGTTTCTTCACAGAAACAAGTTGTTCCCTGAGTCAGTCATCAGAAACATGATGTATCAGATATTACAAGGGCTGGCTTTTATCCACAAACATGGTAGGTTTCATACTAGAGTTTAACTGTGTTGCACTTTTTTTTTTAGAAAAGAAGATCATGCGTAGAAATAACATGAATAAAAATATCTAGCAAAGGCTATTAATTATCTCTGATAAAATATTCTTATCTGTTTCAAGTATGGTGCAGTTTTAAACCATGCCTTGTTACTCTTTGTTTTCCTATAATTGGATTTTCCTCTTTCTTTTGGAAAGCATTGGATGTTGTTCATACAATGTTCAGTAGTTCTTTCTATCTTAGCTACTAGATGAATAAACAAACTGTAGAAACTTTTATGCTGTGCTATACTAAACAATTCTGCTTCCTCAGAAAGATCTAATCAAGGAGCATTGATACATCAATACTTTTGTGTTCCAATACTATAACTAATAGGATACCCTACATATAAAAAATACTAATATAACTTGTTCACTGAGAAATTCAAACAATATCCTTATTAAATACAATCTGAATTTATTTTAATACAATCTGAATATATTTTAATAGATGGGATGTTTCTAGGAATTACAGGCACGGTCTAAATTAGAGGTGCAGTGTGCTCACAACAATAGAAAGTTTCACAGAGTTTGCAAACCTCTTAATTAGCTGAAAATGAAATAAGAAACCATGTTCCCAGTGAAGTCTGATTGACTTTCATGTACTCCGATAAGGCCTGTTGATGAATTCAAATAAATAATTAGTTCTGTTCGGTATTATCAAATGCCCAGAAATTGCCATTTTCTTGTCTTTCTGATCAAGATCATTTACTGTTCTCTGATTGTTAGCATCATCTTTTTCTTCCCCATTTCTCCATGAAATCAATGAGAAAATTAGATTTTAAGAAAAACTTCAAATTTTAAGGTACGATATTAATATTTTGATTTGACCATCTTTGGGGATAAGAGTATGATAAATTTGATTTCATTGTAATAGTTTCAGCCAGCTTCTTAGAGTGGTTTTCAATTTGTGCATGCAGAAGTTGAATGCTTTATTCTAGTAAGTGAATTTCCAACAAGTTAACATATAAGATAACAAATTGTGCGTTCCAGTTAATTAGTAGAATTGATTTGCTTAGCAACTTAACCACTGCCCAACTATAGAGGTGCTCAAGCCAATAGCAAGCACTGAAGAAACTTTATGTGCCTCATTACTGATAATTAGTGTTCCTGAGCAGAATTTGCATCTCTTTTATATGTCTGTATCTCCAAGTTGTTGTCAGAATGATAAGTAACTAATTAAAAAATCATTCAAGGAATTTTATGAATCAAGTAAGTGTGTCAGATGCTCAATTTTTCCATTATCCAAAACTGAAAAAGCAGTTGTAGCTTTTGCAAAAGATTTCATTCTGGAATTGGTTTGGTGCACAAACTGATGTTTCTGCAATAGCCAATTCATTTTCTTTAGTGTGCTCATGACTGTTTACATTTGTTAATTTAAGAACACTTGGTGTAATATTCACTGGAGGGAAAATGTGTGCACTTGTTGGGGGAGGGCTACAATTCTTTTATGTTGAATTTATATTAAAAAAAATAAAGAAAAAAAAGACAGGAAAAGACTATATTCTTCTAAAACATCCCAAAGTAAATATTGGATTATTCTATTAGAAGGTGCTGCTTAAGAAGTGATTACATGATGATTTGCCATTCTTTTTTGTCTGATCCTCTACAGGATTTTTTCATAGAGATATGAAGCCTGAAAACCTTCTCTGTATTGGGCCAGAACTTGTGAAAATAGCGGACTTTGGTTTGGCTAGAGAACTAAGATCTCAGCCACCTTACACAGATTATGTTTCTACCAGGTGGTAAGTATATTAAGAATTTAATACATTAGCTTAACTAATTACCTTTCTATTACCACTTTAATTTATCTGTTATTTCCTTCCATCCTTATAGGTACCGTGCTCCTGAAGTTTTGCTGAGATCATCTATCTATAGCTCACCTATTGATATGTGGGCAGTTGGCAGCATAATGGCTGAATTATACACACTAAGACCTCTTTTCCCAGGCACAAGTGAAGTAGACGAAATCTTCAAAATTTGCCAAGTACTGGGGACTCCAAAGAAGGTAAGACTTAAAAAGACTCTTACAGTTGTATTTTTAAAACAAACAAACAAATTTTTACAAAACATTGTGTTATCTGTATTTCAGAACCTACATATTAAATTATTGGTTTAGTAAGTTTCCTGAGGCTTAAGGTTTTCTCAACCATATTTCATTTAAGCTTCCATTATGGCATGTAATGCTAGTCCTTTGTTGTATATTAGCATCTGTTGTGTATCATACCATTATGTGTAGCCTTGTTCTCCTCTGATGAAAGCCAGATAAAATTGCTTAATTTAGTTATTTAAAGCTATTCATATTGGAAAATAAATCAGAAGTCTCTCAGGATTTCATTTGCCACAGCCAGTGCAGTTTTTCTGTGGTGGCACTCAGAATTTAGAGCTAGTAGAAGATACGATAAATAAGACAAATTATGCTTTTCTTTTGAATTTGATCTCAAACACAGATATCTCATAAATATTATTAGCAATGAGAAGTAATGGAGGGAAAATGTGCAGTCTTTTAGAGAGGAAACAATGTTTTTCAGTTACTTTCTGGATGGGATAAATACTATTTTAAATTACAAGGAAGGTTTGGTTAGGGCATATAAAAATGTATGCAATTATATCTATTTCAGTTTAAAAGTTCTTTTAGCAAATGAGTATGTGAACATGCAAGAAAAGGATAAGCTTACCTTCAAAATTTTGAATAAACTGAAAAAAAGACCATATACAATTAAATAATTTTGGAGACAGGTAAGAAATGGCAGATGTCTGTCAGTACTTTATGGATGCAAACAGATCTTGGTGACATAACTGACTGACCAGAGTCTCTAGATCTGGGAAAACCTAAGGGTGGGAGAGAAAAATCAGTTTCATTAGTGTTCTACTGATATAAAATATAGTATAACTCTTGTCTAGTAATGGAGCTGTTATCGATAGAGAAGGAACTGAAAACGTAAAACAGAAATAGATTAAGCTTAGCTAGGAACATGAAGAGCTTGAAAGTGGTGGGAAGACATCCAAGAGAACATACTGAGAAACAGGTGCAAACTCGTGACAGAGCAGAGGATAAAAGGTCAAGTGGAGAGTTACAGATGGTATGTTGTGGAAGAAAAACTTGACTCTAGAAGACTAAGTGAAAATTGGTTATGATGTGTAAAACAGTGCTTGCCATGACACAGTTATGCATCAAAACAATGCGGAATATGAGTAGTATTTTAGGACTTGTGTTTTCAAATGCAGATGTGAAGTTTCTTAAGCGGATCACAAGTCTAGGATACTAAGAAGAACATTTTGATGTATATTAAGAATATCTGTGAAAGAGAGTAACCTTCTAGCTTCTGGAACATTTTCAATGTATAGCATAAACAGCATAGAATTCTGGAAGTGCAGGGAAAGGTTTTCGTTTTGTAGAGCAATAGCTGAGCAGCACTGAGCTGACCGCTGTGTTTTTTCTCTAACCTTACAAGTAGTTAACAGAAGCAAATTATGACTGTTTAGAGTGTCATTCCCTGACTAGGAAGCTTATTGCTTGGGAAAGCAGGGAGCATTACCAGCTGAGTATTTCAGAGAAAACTGTAGCCTCCAATAAAGACCCTAGGGGTTAGAGACAGTGTAAGTCAGCCCTCTGGGATCAGGAAGCTGTAATTAGTTCCTTTGTGCCCCTGTCATCTGCTGGGCAGACTTGGGAATTTTCTCTCCTTACCACAATGCAAAAGGCATTCTTCAGGGAGATCACTGTGTAAGAGGAGTACTTAAATATTATTATAGGAATTATCACAACAAATAATGCATTTGTTTCAAGTGAAGTACTGTTCTGCATTCTGAAAAACAGAAGTAGTTATTTTAATAGTGTGATTTTGCAGATAGTTTTACAAATAGTATTTTTTTCAGACACAAATTTTGATTAATTCCATTATCCCACAATAAGGAATTACAGAAATTATGCACAATAGTTCCTTCCAGTTTGCCTTCCTGTGTTTAAGCCCATGATACCGTACTAATGACTTCTGTGAATTTGGGTGTTTTAAATAGTGACAGGCAACTATTTTGTTTTATTTTTATAAATTACATTGCTTTATTTATTTTATAAATAAATTGCACCATTCAAGTACTGGCAGTGATGGTGCACTTCTAATTTTATTTTTTTAATAAAAATATATTTTTCATTTTTGCTCTTATACTGTTTTCACCCTATCCCTATAATTCACCAGTTCAACATTCAGCCCTTGGTACTTCATTGTAAACTGTTCCTTTATCACTACTTCTAGAAGACAGAATGTCACCAAATCCAATAAAGGAAGACAGTGCAGTGGAGGAGGAAAGAAGCTTTCTCCATTAATTTAAATGAACAAACTATTCTCTGAGGTGGAATAGGAAGTCACTTGAAGTCTTGAGACTTATTTTAACCAGATGTGGTTTATAATTATATTCGAGTTCTTCGGTCACCATGGGCTGTGCTAACAGAGCTAATACTGTTGTACATAAAAAGATGAGTAATAGCTAACATGGTATCTTAAGACCAAATTCTATCAAATCAATCCAATTTGCCCTGTAGCAGAGTAATAGGCTTGGTGGATAGAGGAAAAGCACTAATATCCTACATTGTCTTCAGGAAGGCTTCTGATGCTGTTCCTCGCATTTTCATCAGCATATATATATACAAACTGTACAAGTGCATACCTGTTTTGAAGGCCTTCTTCAGAGAGTAAACTTCACTGGTTCTCATTCAAAATGAAAGATAGATTGAATAGAACTCATGAGTGGTTCTGCATCTGATGAAATTTTTGAAATTGAATTGAAGTCCTTGGAGTGGAATAGATTTTACTTTTTGGTAGATAGGCTGAGAAGGATTGAGAATGTTAGAAAATAAGATTAGAATTTAGAGGGTTTTTTAAATAAAACTAGAGATGTAGCTTTAAAGAAATTTCTTCAGTAATGTGTTGAGTGCTGTACTTAGGCAGGAATAATCAGTTACATAAATATCTGTGGATAACTATCCAGCTAACACATCTGTAGAAGAGGCCATAGGAGATATACAGTGTATTTTATGTTAACAGTATTTTGTTGCAATAAAGACAAATACCGTACCAGTGTGTAGAGAAAGGAGTATTGCTCATGGACATATGAACTAATCTTTCTGTTTCACTTGCTATATTACATCCAGTTTAAAGTTTCCCTTTTCAAGAGAGAAAGATCAGAGTCTAGAGAAGAAATAAAACTTTACAAGCCTAGACCCAGGTATTGTTTGGGTTTCTCTAGCCTATACAAAGGAGTACTGGAAGAAAAGGAGAAGAAATACATCTTCTAATGTATAAAAAAGCTGTTCTAGAGGGAAGAAAGAAGTAGTACTTCTTGGTATCTATGGATGATGCACTCTCTTGTCCTTCAGGTAGAATGTTTCCAAGTGTGGTATTCACAACAATGGTTCCACCTTTACCTACAGGAGAGCTTGAGAAGGATTGCCAGAAACTGGAAGCTGATGTTGCATTCACTAGTGTTGTAATAATTGTAATGGATAATAGGAATGCCTGTTTCTGGCTACTTAGCAAGGAGCCATGCAAACCAAGTATGACTCAAGCTGCATTCATTTTGATGTAATACTTCAAAGATACATAGTCTTTGTTCTTTTTTAGTATTAATTTTTCTTTCCTTTAAAACAGAGTGACTGGCCAGAAGGATACCACCTTGCTTCTGCCATGAATTTCCGTTTCCCACAATGTGTCCCTATAAGCCTAAAAACTCTCATCCCAAATGCAAGCAATGAAGCAATACAGCTTATGAGTGACATGCTAAACTGGAATCCAAAGAAGAGGCCTACAGCAAGTCAGGTCTGAGCACATGAATAATTAAGTATAAGGCTGAATTTTCTTGCATTGCTAAAAAAATTGTAGATACAGAAAGCATTTGGTTCTCATACTACTGATGGCCACAGAAACATCTCCTCACTTTGAACACTTGGGTGGGAATGAGATTGAGTGGTGAGGAGAAAAAGTTCTAAACCTGGCAGCAGACATCATAAACTCTTCAGTTATTTCTGCAGTGTTGTCTTCTGTATTGGCATATTTTAAAACTCTCTCCATACAGGATAGAGAAAAAGCTGAGCCACAAGTTTCCTCAGTTGTGTTCTATAAGTCACTTCTGCTGCCTTTGTTTTCCTCCCCCATCTGTGCAAAGGGTGTTATTGAAAACTATGCTTTGCTTTCTGTGAAGCTGCAGATGGAATACAGTATGGAAGAGCTAAGGATTATTTTTACTTGGAGGTGGAATGTAAATTGTACTAAGTGATAAGGAAAGAACTTTGTGAAGAACATACCAATAGATCACAAAGGTCACAGTTTTTCTCCAAGTTGATTTGAAGAAAACATATTCAAGTACCAAAGATGGTTACATTCTCTGGATTTATTTTTTTAAAATTCATACCTAATGCAATCCTATTTAGAAGTATAGGAAGGAAGTATAGAGGAAATTGGGAAAGAAAAGACATATTGCAAGTTGGTTGTAATGTAAGTGATTCAGAAGTGGTTAAACAGATGGTACCAAATACAGCAACCATTTCTATCCACTTTATAAAGCATAACTATTGTACAGCCACTGAGATCTATCTGTATTCCAGTACTATGTATCTCTACACAAAACACTGTATGGTGCCTTATAAAAGCAAATAACCAGCTTTTACACAAGTGAGTTATCAAGGAAGCAGCTGCAGCAGTTGTGTAATCCACAGTCAAAACAAAGAGTTTAATGCATATACATGGTAATGTGTAAAAAGGCAGCAATTCTTGAGTGCAGCTGAGGCAAAACACCTCTTTGAGAACTAACAAAGAGTAGGATCCTACCCAGAAGGAGTAGCAGAAAGTGCTGTTTTGACATAGAAGGAGGTGTGTTACTAAGGTGTGTCCATGCTCTGCATCCAGTGGTGGACATGAAAAGGTCAGAGTAAAAGGATGAAATAAAATTCTGCCTTAAGACAGACATTTTAGTTTCCTAATAAACACCATGAAGACACAGCAAGCACAGCAAATGTATTTTAAAGCAAAACAAAAGCAGGGAAAGCTGGTGATAAGAAAAATGAGGGAGAAACTTTGCTCATTAACATTCTGTAATTGTAAAACCCATACATGGCAATCATCTCACTTTTTTTCTTGGTTTTGTTTGTTTTGTTTTGTGGGTATTTTTGTTTGTTTGTTTGCTTTATGTTGGGGTTTTTTTGGGCGGTTGCTTGTGGAGATTTGTTTTGTTTGAGCAGTTTTCTTATGTGGAGTTTTTTGCTTCTGTTTGTTTTTGTTGTGTTTTTTTTGTTTGGTTTGGTTTTTTTAATTAAAAAAACCCAGACTGTTCCTTGAGTTGCCAAAACATAGTCAGCAGTGGAAACATGCAATAAAGCATGTGGTAAAGGTAATGGAGACTACTTGTTTTAAAATTGAGATTTGTTACTGCATGAATTTAGAATGGTGTTGAATGTAAAACACACCACAAAGCACAGACTCCACAAAACCTAGCAGTAAAGGAGGGAAAGAAAGGACATGACTACTGTAACATGCACAATTGGATCCGTCTTACTAAGTTATGATGGGAAGACTTTGAAACACAGAACTGCCAGTTATCAATACACACTGTTTACATATGATCTCATTATGCATCCATCCTGCATCTGTGCAGGATTTGCTTGCTTAAATGTTTCAGAAACCTGCTTAGATCCTTCCTGAAGTTACCAAAATCAACTTTTTGAAGTAAAATTAGTATGTTATATCTTCTTCTCCAGGCTTTGAAGTATCCTTACTTTCAAGTTGGCCAAATTTTAGGACCTCCTCCACAGTATCTGGAGAAGCAGACTCCTATTAAACCGGTTCAGCCAACAGAGCCAAAGCCAGCTTTTCCTAAACTGGAAGCTATATCCAAGCCAGAACCTCTGTCTTCACCTGATTTACCTGACAAAACAGAGCCACAGCCCCTGCCAAAGGTTAACCACCAGCCTCTCCAGCAAATTCAGTTGCCTCAGAATACAACTAACCAGCAAGTACCAAAGCAGCAGCAGCCACAGGCACAACCATTTTTTCCAATTATCAATAAAAATTCATCACCTGTAAGTTGTCTTTAATAACTACTTAGATGGTTTTATTAAAAGTTCTTAGTATATTCAACCAGGTGATCACTTGTCCTACATTTTATTAGAGGAAATACAAATACATAACTAGGGACTAATAGAGGATATGCCAGGTCGCTTCCTAAAATTTGGCAGCCAGTCAGAAGAAAAGATTGCTTGTAACAACAATGTGTGTTCATTTATAATAGGCCTTACTGACATGCTTATGCAGTAATGTAGTTATAACAGCTATGACTTATTGACCTTTGAGAAATAATTCACAAAAATACTGTCAGTATACAGTAGAGAAGTGGAAAGGGAGAACTTCTCTTGCCTCATGCAGGAAAATACCCAAGAAGGTTTATCCAATTCCTAACCTTACAAGAATTTAACAATTAATATTTTTTTGTAAGATGAATAGTAAACTTTGGTTTGTAATCTTCATTTTGCTTTTGGGTCGTACTCACTGAACTGCAGTATAAAGCATGTTAAAAGTAAAAGGTATTCAGAAAATACTGGAAAGCAAATGGTAGTCAGATGAAAGGATAGTTTTTAAATTTAGTCATTTCATTGGAAGAGAATGTTAAAGAAAGGCCTGACAAGCTTCTTTTATTTGCTGTACTTACTTTGGGGCCACAGCAGTGTTCTGCACCATTGTATTCTATTTCTTGAAGGTTCATCTACCACTGTTTAGAGCACAAGTTCAACAAGATACCAGCAGCAGAGGCTGAACACAGAACTGCAAATAGAATGTTAACCTCACTACTTTAGGTAGACTTGGGCAATTTAAGGATGAGAGTCCAAAAGAACTATACTCAAAATACATGCTGGCATTATTGTTATGGTTTGTACTTAAAGTCATTCTGAGACTATGACCAAAACAGGCACAACGTAACGAGAAAAATTCCCTCAAAGTCTTTAACCAGTATTCAGAAAGTAAACTAGATACAAAATATAAAATTTTAGAATGGAATTAAAGGTTGTTTTTTTTTTATCTAAAATAGAAACAAGCAGCTAGTGGCCCTCTGAATGTTGCACTAGGTCCTAAAAGCTGCAGAAGACGATGGGGTCAGACTTTGGTAAAGGCTATGGATAGCTGGGATGACTTGGATGACCCTGAATTTGGAATGTCATGTTCAAAGAAGCCTAGCATTGCATTGTTAAAAGAAAAGAAAAACAAGGAATTTATTTTTAGGTAGGTCCTACAATTATGAAATCGTATTTTCTTTTAGCAAACAGTCCCGTAGATTTATAGATTGATTAAGACAAGTCTGCGAAAATTCAAGTCACCCAAATTCTGCAAGAATGCCAAAAGCTGTATGAGCAGACCAGCTTTGGGTGTGGTGTTGATTTGGTGCTAGCAGTATCCCAACACAATCAAATTTGCTTTTAGGCACTACATGGTTTAGGTGTTTCTTGTGTTATTAAGAAAATGTCTGTCTTACTGAAATCAGACATACTAACATAATTTCCTTTGTCAGTTAAGTGATACTGTGCTCCCCATTTGCTCTTATTCTGTACTGTTGGATACACTTATTTCTTCCAACACCAGGTCAAACGCTCATGAGGTATTAGATTTGGCTGTTACTTTTTGGAAATAGACTCTGCTGATGAAAGTGGGATAACTGAAGAGCACCCTATTCTTCAGGCTAAGGTCAGCTTGTGGTATTCTGAGATGGAGGTGTTGGTCACATTGTTTGAAAATTTTGATTTTTTTCAGTGTGCCAGAACCAAAGCCTTCATGCTATATCCAGCCAGGAGCGGAAAATAAGGTTCTGATGAGAAATGATTCTGGAAGATCAAATACATCAGCAAAACAGTACTATCTAAGACAATCAAGATATCTACCTGGTAAGGTTAAAAGTCAATACATATAGAAAATACAAGGTGGGCACAATCTACATACAGTACATTTAAACTTTGGATTTCTCATTGGATAATTTTACTGTTCATAACCAGGCTACATTTTCAAGCTTTGGACTAAATGCCTTTCCCAGAACATATCACAATTGATGCAGAAGTTCATGGCTATGTAAACGTGGCTTGTACACCATAAAAGTTCACAGGACCTCTTATGACCAGTAACATAAAAAATCCTCAGTAATATAAATCCAACGTCTCTGGGACTACTAGAACTATATCCTGATTGACCTATAAGCAAGTGTGTCTGAGGACTGAAGAAACTACATATATTCTCTTCATCAGGAACCATAGTGATAGGACAAAGAGTAATGGGTTCAAACTGAAAGAGGAGAAATTTAAATTAGGTATATAGAAGAAATTCTTCACTATAAGGGTGGTGAGGCACTGGAACAGGTTGCCCAGAGAAGTTGTGGGTGCCCCATATCTGGCAGTGTTCAAGGCCAGGTTGGATGGGGCTCTGAGCAACCTGATCTAGTGGGAGGTGTCTCTGCCCATGGCAGGGGTGTGGGAATTAGAAGATCTTTAAGGTCCCTTCCAACTCAAACCATTCTATGATTTTATACATATATAATGCATATTTATCAGTTTTGCAGTGTCAGGAGGTTGGAGGTCTTCACACAGTTAGCCTTCTTTGTAGGAAGTGTTTAGAAATATCAGCCACTGGCACTGGTAGGAATTCACACATTCACTTCCCCTCCCCGGGTATCTTTAAAAATAGATAACTTAGTCTAAATCTGGGTGCTTTTATCAGGAAAATAACATGAAATTATGTAATTGCTAGAAATGAGAATGGAAAGGAGGGGAAAGCAAAGAGAATGTTTCCTTCAATAAGTATTCTAAATATATACTATAATCAAATTATTTTCTTGGTGTCACTTAGTGTCATTTATTTGTTACCATGATGCTTTGTACAATTCCAATAAGCATATCATGACTTCTGCTGTAATCCACATGTGAGAATTTAGGTGGCTCACAAAGGAATTCCTCATTGTCAGGCAAGTTGTTTTGTTACAACATATCATTAATTTGTCAGGAATTCATTAGGGCAGTGATGACTTCTGAATATGAAATCACTTCCTGAATGTTAAATAGGATGCCCAGAGGCTCAAGAGTTTAAGTCCAAAAGAAAAGAAAAAGAAAAATATAAAGGGCGAGGAGCTTCCCTATCTAAAGGTAACACAAATGGAAGGTTCATCTATATTTCTTCTCCTCTTTTAAGCATGATTCTAGTGTCTCTCTGGTTTTCAGTTAGAAAGGCATAGATGTAAAAGATAATTAATTCCAAGATTTAAGGGAATAATAGCTCCAAGGAGCATATTTGTTATTTATACATATTACTTTAGTTCTGTAACCTGCAGATCTGGGAGCTGTTTTCGTGCAGTGTAATCCCCTTAAGTCTTGTAATGCTCCTAACGTGCGAAGTAACAAGAACCTCTTTGTCCTACTTTTTAACTTAACCCTTAAAGAAATAGTTTGTTTTCAGTCTTGAGAACCCTAGTTTTTGATAGGTATTTTTAATTTGTGTTAATTTTTTGATAGACAAAAATATCAACAATGCGATTATGATTTTATAGAAACCAAGTAACTGTACTAAAAAGACTGTTAAAAGTTCTCTTGAAAGCATGAAGATAATTTTTCTTAAATCAGTGTCACTAGTTTTCATGGCTTAGCTTAAAAATCTAACCTAATCAATGGACATTGTTAATTTACATTAATGGTGTTCACATTATAGCACAAATAATTCAGTGTTGGTTCACTGTTCTAAAAGTGTGCATTTTTCATGGGTTGCATAATGTTTGAAAATTGATATTTATAACATTATTTATCATTTGTTTTCTAAGGTGTAAACCCAAAGAGTGTCTCTTTAGCAGCAGTCAATAGAGAAGGATCACAAGGAACCTGGAACAACCAGTTGTTTTCTAAATCGCTGGCACATACTGGAGGAGGATTGACTTTCAGGAGAAATACTACAGGTAAAAGTGCAATTGAAGATGATCACATTATATCTCATCATGCTTTATTTAATTAATGTAGTTAAGACCATCTGGTTTAAATTCTGTGGTCAAGCTTAGCTTCTAAGCTTTTTTTTCTCTTGTTTTAACAAATGACTCATAACAACTTTTTCATATGTAAAACTATGTATTTTGCTTTCAGAACATTAAGAAGGTATAGACCAGCCATTCTTTATAAAGTTTTGTCAAGATAAATTTTGTCCATAATCCTCTTAGACCATAGGTACTGTATTTAAGCAAATAGTTTGACCTTATTACTGCCTGCTCAGTGTGCTATGGAACATTAGCAAACAGCAGTGTCACCTGTGAAAACAAAATGGTGAGTGGTGTGCTCATGTAATAAAAATGCTGCCTAATGTTCTAAATATGTCTTTTATCTGTTTACTAGCCTTGTCCTAAATCCTGTGCTGCAGGAAAACTCCCCTTATTTTCGGGAACTTTCAGGGAAGTTATTTTTGGGAGTATGTTTTGTGAAGTACACTATTAGTGAAGACTAAGGCTAGTTAAACAAAGTTTCATTCTTGCTTGCTTTTTTCCCCTCTGTTCTTTTACATCACCTAAACAGGTTCTTCTTATCCTTTTTCTAAAGTTCTGTCTTTGCATCTTTTTCTTCCTTTCGTTTTCCTTACCTACAGATGAGAACTTAATTATACCTATTGAAAAGCTATCATGCAAAGAAAGGTTTAATGAAAAATTAGAAGATCCAAAAGGTAATTTATAGCAATTGTAGCCTAGTTCTTTGTATGTTTCTTATTTATGTTTTACAGTTTCTTGTAAAACAATTATGTTTATAATGCATGTTCCTGATGATCATATACTTCCATTTGCAGTTGTACTCTGTTTTGTCAAACCTTGCTCTCTTCATTGTGACTTCTGGATTCTTGGCATTTACTGTGTCTTAAAAGGCAGAGAGTATTTTATTATCCTAATTATAATCCACAGCAGGTCACTGCCCTGTTGCTGGATAATGGTGGAGAAGTGATCCTTAAGCAGCACATGCATCTCTCCTGAAGGACTGCTTGTTCATGACAGGACTTGGGACTTGAACCATTTCCTGCATTTGGATTCTCTACCTGATTCTTACACTGATTTTACAGTGCTGTGGTTGAACAGATTTTGGTGGAGTCACCTTACTGTAAGAAGGTGGAAACTCAGGATTCCAGGCAGCCTAGTTTATGTCTAAATACACTGTTGGCTATAAGCATTGCAAATGCTGGAATGTTTTACCTCTCCCCCTATTCCTGCCCCCTCTGGTGTGTACTGCCCATGTGACACATCTCATTGCAACTACTTGTAGGGTTTTTTGAACTCACTACCTACCTCAAACAATTCAATGACCTTATCCTTTACAAAGAATCAGGTGTGTGTTGTTTGAGATGGGGGTATGGCCTTGGCCACCCTTGTGGACATCATGGCAATGAGTGCTTGCCTATAGACCAGCTGCCAGACCTCCTGGATGCCTGATGGATGATTACTTCTCTAGCAAGAACCCTTTCCTCTCTATGGCAGTAGTCAGAGGTAAGGAACTGTGCTTTTAAATAGGATGTTTTTAAATTTGTAGCTATTCTGTTATTTTATATTGAACTTTTTTTCCTGCTTCCCTTGTTCTCATCCAACAAAAGATCACCCCTGCAGACCTCTCTGTTTCACCCAGACTGTTCATCCTGGCTGCACTTTTTCACTTCCTGCAGAAGAATTCATAAAGGACATTGGACACTGAGAGGTAAGGAGAACCAAAAAAAATGGTTGAACAATTTTTGACAGCTATGCAGCTTTGCCGAGCTGTAGCAAAGAAGCAGATAGAAGTAGTCTTTTTGAGGTTGTATTAATTGAGGCCTGTCATGTTCTTATTTTCAGACCTCAGAATTTTAAGGAATGTTATTGAGTTCTCAGATCTGAACTACTCCCAGTAGCTAGGAACTGGGGAATAAGAGAATGTCTGTGATATATATCCACAAGCAGGTGAATGAACCACTAAAACTGTGTTGTTTTGGTTTTCAGGCAAATTCCTGAAAAGGAAGAACAACTTAGACTCTACAAGAAAGTTAAATTTTATTGGAATACTTCATTAAAGTTTTATTTTTCACCAGCTGTATTGATGTGTCATTCTTTACTTTGGAAACTGGCATCAAGTGGACAGAGGAAAGCTACATGGAGACCCAACTATTTGCAGAGCTGTGAAGTGACAGTTTGAGGAGACTGGCAAAACTCAGTTAGCTGAACGCTTTTTGTTAGTGCTCCTGAACAGGGAGGTTTGCAACAACCCAATGCAGCTGTAATTAGCTGAGGATACCTTTTTTTAGGTTGTAGATGACCACTTTTGTAGCTTATAGATCCACTGCTCTGAGCTCTGACATAATCAGAGAGGACTGAGAGTGTTTGTGTGAAGAGGAACATTATGGGATTGCACAAAGGCTAGCAATTTAGGAGACAAAAACTGTCAAAGCAGATACTGCATGTTTAGTGCAGCTACCACTGAAACTGTGAATATGCACACATTTAATAAAGGTTAAAACAAACTACTGTGTATGGCCTTGTATTTCACAATACTACTGAACACAGAACCATACTACTAGAGAAAAGCATTTCTCTCTGGACATTGTGCCAGCACAGTCTTTACACTGTCCCAAGTGATGACAGATATGAGGAAGGTATGAAATTTTCTTGGACCAGGGAATCTAAGTATTGTAACAGATCCTTCTGCCACTGAACATTAATTTCAGTACTAATTTTGTGTGTACATGCACAATGCTTCTCAGCTTCCAAATGAGGATGGTTATGTCAACCTTCCCATGGGAGTACTGCTTTAAAGAAAGATCTGAACCAAAACTAGGCATAATATTATAACCAGGGTTTAAGAAAGAGGGTAGTTGGGTCTGATCTTTATAGTAGGCCTTTTAGCTATGGAACTGGCAGTCAACTTCAAGTGGTACACCACTTCCCACAAGAGAAGTTGGGTTTCAGTTCTTTTAGATTTAGGCCTGTAGTGGTTTGAACCAGGTTTTCCCCCCGAAGCTAAGAAAGTGGTAAAACCCCAGGGGCTGGTGACCCCTGGAAGTTTTGAAGTTTTGTCCAATGGGCGCTTCTGCGAAATGTAAACATACCACAAGCAAACGGAAGAGAAGGTGAGTTGTAGTTTGGTGTTGTAGAAGTGGTAGCCATGTTCTGAGGCCACGAGGAGCAGAGGGCAGGAGCCCCCTGGGGGGCTTTGGCCCCCCAGCCCCCAGTGGGGGCTGCGGGGACCTGGAACAGCATACAGCTGGGCTAGGTGCCTGCAGTTGAGAGCTAAAAAAGTTTTCTCCACTGTGAGTGAGCAGAGACAGCAGCGGCAGAAGCAGCGTCCAGAAGCGATGGCAGAGAGCCAAAAAGATAAGAACGCAGCAGAGACGGCTTGCAACCAGGCAAGCAGACACAGAGATGTCTAATGAAGAGAGAGAGAGCCGAGAGAGCAACAGGGAGAGAGGAAGCTGGGGTAAGAACTAGAATAAGACCCCATACCCCTCTGAGACCTCTGAGGAAGGAGGGAGATGGACTCCTATTAAGGAGAGGAGCCTTGGAGTGCTGCAGCACCAGAGAGAGAGGAGCTGAGAAGCTCAAAGACGTCCTGAAGCTGGACCGGGATGGAGAAGGAATGCGGGGGGGGGTTGACCTTGGCCCCCCTCGCTGCTGCTGACAAGCCTAGCAGCCTGAGACAGAGCACAGGAGCTCTGGTAGAACTCTTGAGGCAAAGGCTTTCAACTGAATGCTGCCCAAGATGTTCTGACTCAGGGGTGAACCCCCCTGAGGAAGGGACTTTCATGAAGATGCCCCTGCACTTTGTGATATGCCCATGGTGAAGCGAGTTTTGTCCCTGCTGGCAGTCCACAGGTGAGTCCTTCGCTTGGAGTCGAAGGAGAGCCAAGAGGGGTGAAAGGAGACCCCCTTGTGTCTTGAAAGACCTGCGTTTGGAGACGACGGGCCAAGGGGCTTGGAGACCCCCTTGTGTGTATTGAGAAGAGATCCAGCTACAACAATCCAGTTACAGCTGCTGCATAGAGACAGAGAGACCTGCTGCCTTAGAGATATTGCTGCTCTGAAGAAAAGATCTTTCCTTCTTCCCTCCTGGACTTTTATTTGGAGGGGAGAAGAGATCTGATCCATTGTAAATACTTATGTCATGGTATAGATAGTTGTGATCATGTGTACAATGTATTATAATATTTATTTGTACAGTCATTGTAATATATCCCCTTTCCCCCGTTCTGAGTCTCGTGTTGTGTCTGGAAAGCACATCTTATACTAGGTTGAGATGGGGGAGGGGGCTTGGACTAGGGAATTAGATTTTTTTGGGGGATCTCAAACCATGACAAGGCCAAACATGTTGAGCATAAGAGTAGGGCTGAGTGCTAGTTTTCAAATAGCTTAAACCAGCTTCTGGTAAAGCAAGTAGATGTAAGCAAAAGGTAAGATCCTATCTATCTTTCTCTAAAACTCGGTGTAAACCTTTCTATGTTCACCCTTCTCTGTTGTTTTTTTCCTGCTGATCTCCAGCTTGCAAGTCTGCTAAGTGCTGTAAAGATACAAAACAAAAAATTAATATATACTTTTTTTCAAGAGATGAGCACTAGGGAGTACTCTTGGGGTACTGCAAATATATTTTGAAGTGACTATAAAAAGTAGCCAAGGTTTTCTGAATGCCACTGAAAATTCTAAAATTCTGCAATGTCAACAGGAAATCCTGGCTTTGTAAGTAGTGCTGCTTACAACCCATCAGGAATATACACCCCGTCCTTCCATAAAAAAGAAGTTGGCTCAGCTGGACAACGGATACAGCTAGCACCTCTTGGTGCACCTGTATCAGGTAAGAAATACCCTTTTACCATACATAACCAAGACAAAGAGAAACGCTAATTTTCCATGCTTCCAAAGAGATCAGCCCTTAGTAAGGTTTTCCTCAAGTTCTATAATTAAAACTGTAGGGCATAAATTGTTCATAACATAAGTGAACTGAATGTAGGTGTATAGAGGCAGTCCTGATAGCTAGAGAAACTATTGCTACTAATATTTATTAGGTAAAAAAGAAAATAATTACAAAAGGTGCAAACCTTTTATAATTCTAGAAAGTTTGGACCATTTGCTAAACTATGGCTCATTAGTGGCGATGGACCAAGCAGAATTGTAAAAATATGTAACTCCACAGCTCTGTAGTAAATGGTCATGTAGACTGGACTCCATTCATCTGGTAAAAACAACGTGAAGTCTGTTCTAAATGTAACTGTTACCTTGGATCCTCTACAGTATGGATGACATTCTGAGCACTTTCTTTGTATGTTCCTAATTCAGAGAAGATGAACAGAAGTGCTCAGGATGCAGGGGAAACTGGTTTGTGAGTGAAGATTTAGAGCTCTTGTCCAAACCCAGCAGCATGCTTTTCTAGTTACTTCAGAGGAAACAGCAAGGCCCTGAAATTGGTGAATTGTTTAACCAAAGGGCTTATGGCACACCAATCTCATATGCTCCTGCTTAAATAATGTCTTTTTGCTGATGTGCTCTTTTGAGTTACCTGTTCTCCTTAGGAATTTGCAAGTAACTTCTGAGAAGCAGAGAGGGAAGGAAGGAAGGAGATGGCATGCATATATAAAATATGCTTAGATGTATATGTATTCTGTGCCTGAGTGCATCAGAAGCCCACCAGGGAAGGCTGGAGCTGCAGTTCATTATCTTATCAACTCACTGCTGGAACACAGCTGTGAGAGTTTTGATTTGTCACAGTGTGTGGATCAAGGATGACAAAATCTACAACTATCTCTAGACTGCTGTGAATAGTGTGAAAGAGAAGGGATTAGATATGGTGTTCCAAAGGGAAATAAATTCACTGTTAATATGTAATTAGAAATGGAAAATGTGTAGTAAAAGTCAGAAAAGCTGGCAGATGGAGGTCAATTAAGACACTCTTCCATGTCCTGGAAAAGAGCAAGAATACTATTGCTTTAAACCCCTCATATTTAGCCTAAACTTTACAGACTTGCATGGGAAGAGAGATAAGGATGAAGGAAATGGCAGGTTTTATCTCCTAGCTGTCAGTATTTGAACGTTAACATTTTTGGTGACCCTTTGCTTTGCATTATGCAAACTGAAATAAGTTATGCTCTCAATTGTATTTCTCTCTTAATTTGTTAAGTTTTTTAATGCCATGATTTAAATAATTTAATGTAGTATAAAGGATCGGTTTCCCTATGGAAAATGCCAAGACGCAGGAAAAGTGGCCTTCATTGCCAAGCTACTGTAGGCTGGAATCATACTTTCTGACCAAAGATAGGGAATGCCAGCCTACAATAAAAAGGAACAGTATTAGTTTTCATAGAGGTGGAGACCTGACCCCCAGTTTCAGTTCCTTGATGTTCCTCCTTTTTAAATGCCTTGATCCTCACCTGTTCTTTAATGGGTTCAATCCACTGTTTCTGTAAGAAACAGAATGATACACAGGCACCAAAGAACCATTACATTTAAATGTGAAATTTTTTTTAAGAGTATCACTAATACATAATAAAAGAAGACTAAACTACAAATCTAGGAATGGAAGGGGTAGGACCTACTTTGGGAATGCTAAGGTATAGCAGGAGTCTGGATAAGAGAGGTCCCAAATGACTGACTTTAAAGGATTGGGAAAATGGCAGAATTGGTCATGAACATGAAGAAACATCAGCCCCTGCAGCAGCACAGTTACTTTAGTCACATGAAGCTTGAGGAATTGCCAACTACCTGAAATGCAAAAAGGGGAAATCTGAGTAGGAAGGCCAGGAATACAGTAATGCACTACTGCTAGTGCTTGATATCAGGTGGATACCAATATTAAGGAATAAGAAAACCTTCAGACTTGGAACAGATGCTATAAAATCAATGGAGAAATGGGAATTGGAGCAAAGAGGACTTGTCACCAGTTAAACCAGGAGTTCTGAGTTGAGCAGGAGGGAAATAAAAGGCATAAAATCTCAAAGGGAACAAGAAGGTCTCCAGAAGTTGTCCTTCAGTCTAAACTGTTTGGGTCTTAATAAGTTTATCAATGTTATAATTACATGCTTTTATAAATATTTGAGATAGAAGAAAGAACACACTCATTCTGTAGCAGTTTTATAATAGGAGATACAGAATTGTAGGTATATGCATCAGTTTCTCTACTGAATTTCAGTCTCAATGTTTTCTCGAATGATTGCTGCAAAACAAGTATCCAGTAGGTGAGGATTAAACACACAAACTATAGGAAACATGCACCTTATCTTAAAAGAAGCATAGACAGCATGCTCTCAGGCATATAGTGGGATTCTTGCAGGTGTCCTGTGCAGAGTCAGGAGTTGGACTTGATCCTTTTGGGTCTCTTCCAACTCAGGATGTTTTATGACATGTAGGAGACCTAAGCACCTTGCTACATTGGCACCCCTAAGTACCATAAGTCATCTTTAACCTCTCATTCTTTTCTCTGTGAAGAAGTAAAATATCTTTTTAGTCATCATTAATTCTGAGTTCTTGTTCCTTTCAGATTTTTCCTGGAAAACCAAAGCTGCTCGTGCTCCATTACCAGGTCCTACCTTCAATTCACCAGCAAAAAACATGAGTATCTTAACTTACCCACCAACAATTCAGCGAGTACATGGAAGAACAGACTGGGTAGCCAAATATGGAGGAAACAGATAGAAAATGCCATCCGCTACAACAGATACTACGTGCGCTGTGTTCGGTTCTCCTGCACTTGGAAACCTGAAATGCCTATTTGCTCTAACTTTTCTTAAGACTATGCAATAGTAAAGAAGAAAAAAAGACCCTGTGTTCTATTACCTGTTATAGTACACATATAATACCATGTAAAACACTGGCTATAAAGTAGGATGTAATGAAGTATTGTATAACGCATATTGCCAAAACTACTAGAAGTAGATTTCATTTGACATTTTTCTATAGATGATATCCTATCCCTGTGCTCTTAAACACAACTGTTACGGTTATTCATCCAGTGCAACATCCACTGTTGGGATATGCTTGAAGCACACAAGCAGTTAGAAGTAGGGCTGAAGCAGAGCAGCACCAGGCTTCCAGGTGTTAGGCTGGTTCCTCAGCAGGAAGATGAGAGTGAAGCACAGCTCCGGCTTTGTGAGGAATACCAAACTCTCCTACAAGGATTTCAGAACTCACTTGTAACTAAGAATTACTCAGGGTCTGTAAGCTGCAAATATTCATGTAGCAATGAGAGCTTAAATCCTTGTAGTGAGACACAAGCAATCCACTTATAGATACTACACAAGAAAACTCTAAAAACTTGGCTGATACATGGCTGTAGAAAGATATAGCAATACTGGAAAATAGCTAAACAAGTACTGAATGCTAGACTCAAGCTGTGAAGTGAAGCCTAACAATTAGATTCTGCTGTTATAATTAACTTAATGCCATTTTTGGTCAAAGACCTGTAGAGATTTTCCTCTGTCCTGTCAAGGGAGTGTCACAGTGACCTTTAAGAAGCCTGAATCACTGTGGTCTGTCAGTCATTTTAAGGGTGAATAATAAAACAATAAAATGCATAAAATAATAAAATGCATAAATTATCAATAAACTCCTGTTTCTTTATATCTTTATTGGGTGATCAAACTTAAACTACAGAAGTTGAATAAGCTACATGAGGGGCTACATATTGGGCTGTTCTTTAAAAATATTGTTTTCTGGTTTAGATCTTAAAGGCCAACTTAGGTACCTAAAAACACACAGCAACTTTAATAATTCATTGTGTCGCTGTTTATTTGCTCATTCAGTACTTTCCTCAGTCTTTATGGTAAGTTTTATAATAATATCGTGCAAAGGACTTTGCAATGTACAATGAACTGTTTTTTTAGTATGTTGAACTAGGCTACTTCTGTTAACAATTGCATTTAGAATAGATGCTTTAGACTTAATAGTTACATTAAACCTGCCATTTTAAAGTATAAACAGAGTATGTTCTTTAAGGATTTAAAGCTGTTAATGATTACTTTAAGCATTGTAAAAAAAAGAAATGTATTTGTAGGCTTTTATAATGGATATTAAAATTTAAATTTCTGTTGTTGACCCAATCTTTCATAATATATAGGTTACATTAATTTCCTGGAAAGCAATTTAATCTAAAACAGTTTTACCAAAAAGTCAAATATTTTGTTATTAAAATTGCACCTAAAGAAAATGCCACTTTAATACTGTAAGAGCTATACAGGGATAGGGATATATGGTTAGTAATGCACTAGAGAGTTTAATTCAATTGCCATTGGTCTAGGATTAAATATTTGTCATTCCATTAGTACTAACAGATGTCCCTATGCTATTTAAATGTGTCTTAATTTATTGGTAGAATATATGTAACTTGTCATGGCAATGAAGGACAACCTCAGACTGTTTGTAACAGACATTAAAGCAATGGGTTTATAATTAAAAAACAAGATAAATTAATCACTTGTCTCTAGTACAAGATGCCAATGACTTAGTTAAAAACACGGCCTGGTCAAGGAATTAACTAGTAATGCATCCAAAGCTCACATGTCCATAGCTCACATGTCCGTAAGTCACCTAGAGCAGAAAAATAAACAGGTACTATTTCTGGCACTAAATATGGCTAGAAGAAACATGCTGTCCCTTACCATATGCTAATGAACCTTGAAAGGGCTTTGACATAACTAAACCAGCCTTTACTTGTTCATAATCAAAGCATGACCAGTGTTAAAAAATTCTTCTTGCAAACAGCAAGAAAAGGCTAATGAGCTCTGTACAGTCATTTTCATTCTGATTCATTGACACATATTGGATTGTTAGAGCAGAAATGCCATCTAATGCTTAAAAAATTTAGTATGCTGAAAAAGTTTCAAGGGGATAAAGAGTATGTAAGACTAAAGCTTTTCTCTTGTCCCTTTGTCTGTATTACTGCTGTTTCTCCTGAACATGAAAAGTGGTAACACGTTCTACCAGCAGTTCTCAGTTCAAGCTACTGCTTTCCAAAGCTCATGGAACAGCAGCTTAACACTTTGGTCTAAGAGTTTAAAAGCTTTGAAGTCCAATTCCCTGTTTTCTATTTTCTTTATTCCATCAGAGACAACTGCAGCTCAAATTTGCAAGTTACCTGATTTGAGACCAGCATTATACAATTAGAAAACTGCTGGATCATGGATGTTCTCACTTCATTGCAGGAGATGCATTTATGTGTGCATCTTACTTCTACAGAAGAAAATTGATTCAACAGCAATATGAAGAGGCAAAAAAAATATTAAGTAGTTTAAAGAGAAGTGTCTTAAATGCTAATGCCTGGCTTACTAACTTTTTCAAGTTAGAGCAAAGACACTGAGACATGTGCCCACCAATGGTGAGTCCATGGGCTGGGATTAGGCACTTAAAAGGACATATAAACAAACCATCTTCTGTTTCTATGCAGGGAGGCAAGAGGGAAATGTAAATACAGGAGAACACCTGAAGCTGAACTCTGCAGGATGATGAATAAGGGTTTTAAGAAGATGCTCTGAGTACAGTTCCCCCTCAAGATCTCACTGCCTGTGCTCAAGCCAGCTCTGACCCAAGTTGTTTGGCCTGGGAACAGGCTGCTGAGACCCTTGCTGGAGCTGCACCCATTCCTGGCCATGTCTCTGAGGATCTGGAACCCAATCTCATTGACCTGGCATCCTGGCTTGATCTCAGCCTTGCCTCATCACTGTGAGTTGCCTGGCAAACTGCACTGCTGGCAGAGCCTGGCTATGGCTATGGCCACTGGCCCAGCTCTGCACCTCCTGCTCAGGCAGCACAGGGTCACTGACCTGCCTGTTTTGCTGCAGCAAGGAACAAGGAAAGGAAAACTACAGGATGTGACCCTCCTGCAAAGTTACTAGCCTGATACTTAGAGAATTCTAAGCAACTCCAGGGCCTCACCATCTAATGAATCAACCCTGCTGCTTCCATCTCTCTCAGTACCAGGCACCAAAGAAAGGTTGAGGAAATAAAGCTCAGGATCTGTGCAGAAAGGGATATCAGTTAAATGAAACCAGAAAAGGGATACATTACCAACCATGTGTAGCTTCCAGGATTATTTCTCTATGGCAGGTTTATATCTGGAACAATTTCAGGCATCAAGGGAATCAACTGAGGACAAAGACTGATCAAATGAACCCTTCAGTCTTTAAAGAAACTTTCATACAGAATTTTCTAAATCTAAAATAGACGATTCTCTCGGAAAACAAAAACCAAACAACCTTTAATACAATAGTTGTCTGAATATTTGGTCTGTATGCTTTTGTTCTCTACACCTCCCCCCAGTTCAGATTTTTATATTTACAAGTTACTAGATTCAGAGAATAGAATAGAAATTATGTATACAATTCATGTTTGCAAATATACCCAGACACCTTGCAAGAAAGGCACCAAACTATCAATCCAGATGAATGACTAAAGACAAAAAAAGTTGTGTAGAACACAAAGGTTTGTAATAATAATTTGTTAGTTTATTTAAAATAACACTTTAATAAAAGCTATGCCTGCAATTCAGCATTGCCTAATAAAGCATCTTTTTGATTTATGAATAATAATCTGTAAAAATGAAATTAATTACATATAGCTGGGCACTTTTGCTTACAAGTAATTGCAAGGAACGGGTCTGCATTCATTGTATTACAGCAGAACCTCAACAGCCTGTTCCATGATTATGTTTTGTGGGACCAGCTTCTGACACACAGTGCTGGGAGAACACAGTCCCTGACTGACAAACATTGTGACCAGATAAACTGGCAAGGAAAGGGAGATGTAATGTTATAAGCACGTTTATTATCTTAATTACTAGTGACAGACTGGCAACTCCTCTTCCCTTGTTTTAGAGGTACACATGATTTTAGAAGGACAAACCAAGATGTACATTTAAGCTTCAATCCTGCAACTGTCTGCATACAAGGGCCAAGAGGTCTTTGCCTACAGTAAGCTGCAGGACCAGAAGCTAAACTAATGCTATAGTCATATGTTCTTGTTTCACAGCGCAGAAAATGTTAAGACAGATACCATTTGGGAAGACATAACAAGGCCTCTCTGTGTCAGTCCTTTAAAAACACAACCCATGTGTTAGGATATGAAAAATACAATGCACAGGTAGCAGTGTCTTTTCCACTTTTGTGCAGCACATTTAAGCAGTTGCAGCTTCAGGCTTCTCAATCACATATCTTCAAGTAACTTGATGCAGATTTATGGCTTAAGAGGCTTTTCCATTATCTGCAGTCCAAGCCGTCCAACCATCAGTAAACTGTTAAACAGAATAGTTGTTATAAAAAGAGGAAGGTGAAGGCAAAAATCCCATAAAGAACAAAAAGGAAGAAAATACTGACATGATTTCATTTAGCTGAACTCCACCAGAAGATTTCATTTTTTCACAGAACTTACCATGTAACATTTTTAAAGCAATCTAATCCACAAATAAGTTAAATAAAATGCACATTTGATAATACAGACAAGAGCAAAAGAGAGGTGATTACCTGGCACCGGCAATTATCCCAGGCATTGCTTTTTTGGTGTTGTAAAATCTCATTCCCATAACAGTAGACAAGGTTCCAGACGCCACTGTTGAAATGAAGCCCAATCAGAACCATTTGGCACAGAAGTACCAGTGCAACACTGCCACGCTTGGACACTGCAACACTGCCACGCTTGGACACTGCAACACTGCCACGCTTGGACACTGAGCAGCGCCAACCACAGACCTGTGTGTACAGACAGGAATGCCTCCCTCCGTATGCACTGGATTTTCTTAAACAGTAAAGCTGTTGTTACAAACGTCTCAGCAACTCTGGTAAGTGTGTTCCACTGCTCAGGAGAAGCAACGAGGTCTTGTCAGGGTCAAGACCACTATCTGATTGCTCACAACCTCCAGTCCTCTGGAGAGATCGCTAACTCTCCCTCAATTACTCCTTATTTGCAGATGAATGATTATTTCCTTGAACACAGGCAGGCTCGAAACTTCCAGAAAGCTGGGATGGTGACAGAGTTCACTATGTGGGAGGCAAATATTACAGTCCCCATTTCTCTGTGGCATTTTGAACTAGAAGGGGCACTAAATATTACAACTGGAAAGAAAACAACCCCAATTGAAAATACAAATTAGAAAACAGAAATCTAAAGGAACAAATTGAACGAGTGATTACTCTCTTAAACATTACTCTAAAATATTTAATCTCTAAATCGGGAAAAGCAATCCCATCAATATGCATATAAAATTTACAGGGACATTGTTTCTTTGAAGAAAAAAGGCAGGTGGAGATGCTGTACACCTTTCTCCAAAGCCTCAAGTTTGTTTGCATCAGACAGGGCAAACGGTATTTTAGAGACACTCTGTCAGGTTTCCATTTCTGGATTTCTACCCATGATGTACTGTGACCAACCTAAAGCTCTGCAGGAGCCACAGCTGCACATCAGAAGCAGGGCTGAGGAGGAATGAAGAGTTGTACTAGACTGTGACACACCACCACTTTCAACAGGTGCTTTTGAAGGCACTACATGCATCACATCAGGATACATGGAAGCTGCTCATCCTTCTTCATGACACTGACTAAAAACTTGTGCCAGAGATGCACAGCCATGCACAGCCACTCCCATGTCATGCCAGAGACAGTTCACAAATGGAAATTTTGCTTCATATTGACCTGCATTTTACATGTCATTCCTTACTGATGAGGCAGTTTGGTCCTCTGCAGTATCTACCAGTGGCTTCATAAAGCCTTTTGGCACATTAGTCCTACTGGGTTAAAACAGTCTTAAATCACTGTAAAGCTATAGTATCACAACACTAGTAACACTGAGGAGTAGTTACAGAACTAGAGTGAACTTCAAGAGGTTATCAGAATACCCTAATGCCCAAAGGCAAGATCAATTCCCAATAGTGGTTTAACCAGGCATTACAGTCCTGCAGCACTGGAAGTCCCTGAGGTTCAACTGTTCTGTGCTTCATAACACTCTCCACAGTCATTTTCTCCTTCATCTGAAGAGCTAATGGCAAGATATGCCCACAGCTTCTTGTACATTCTACTGTAAGCAAGCAGAATAGATCATCGCCTCCTTTCTTTTACATACTTCAGACTGTTTCCTCCACAGTGTATGATGCATTGAAATATATACTGCTCTTCTGACATGCTTGTGCAAAGCAAGATTCCATAAGGCTGCATACCACTTGTCACAGTGCTGTCACTATTGCAAAAATAGTGCTTATTCCATGACCACAGGCTAAAAATGCTGCTTCACAACCGAACATTTTCCATGCATGTTTTCATTAGTTAACACAGTGTCTAATATGGCAGAGGAGACAGGTATTTCTCACCAACTCTGGCTTCAAACAGGACAGCCCAGGTTTTAGAACCAAGTACTGTGCTTGGTACACAAATAGAGCCAGGAAGTCCTGTCCTGCCACTACTTACAGTTGTACAGATAAATGGGCACAGGTCAGATGAAACACGCTAGAAAAAAAAAAGGTTACTGTTCCCACCGCTACCAGTAACACTCAGTACTCAGGTGCTGAGCAAACTTACCGAGGGAAAGCCACACATTCTTTGGATCTTTGGACTGCTGGTAAGCACCTAGTCCCGCTAAGCCACCAAACAGAAGACCAGCAGCTAGTGAAGGGACGCTGCCTTGAATAAAAGTAAATATAAAGCAGTCAGTGAAAGTCACTCTGCACACTAAAGAAAGGCACTCGCGGGTTCCCGTTATTTGTAAATCCACAAAAACAACCTAAACAGAGGACACTGCACTGGGTTGGGGTTGTCTTTAAAGATACTTTGCAGGCCTCAGCAAACACCGTTTCGGTGGCAACAAGGACTTAGCGGGGTTTGCGGGGTCACTGCCAGCAGCGGGCCGGGACCTGCGGCTGAGCGCCCCCGCAGCTCCGGCTGCCGCGGGCCCGGCCGGGACAGCCCCGGCCCCGGCACCCACCTGCCTTGGCGTAGCCGACGACGCCGCCCGTCGCCACCAGCGCCGCGTAGCCGAAGCCCAGCCAGTCGTATTCCATTTGCGGGCACAGCGGAGCCGCGGGCAGAGCCACGGCGACCTTGAGCCGCTCTCTCTCCCTCCCTCTCTCCCTCCTCCCCGCTCTCCCTCCCCGCCGCGACACCACCCCCCCCGGAGGTCCCGCCCGCCGGCCGTGACGAGAACCCGGGGAGGAGCCGCTCGCACTGGTCAGGCTTCGGGAGGTTTTACCTGATTGACTGCCGGTTAATAACATGGTAGGAAAGTCAGAAATAAAGCAAAAACCCACCCATGCCGCTCTTTTTCCCAGGCTCAGCTGACATCACTTCGGACTGCCAGAGAATGGGGAAAGGCGGCTGCGGCCAGTCCATAGCGCCTCTTCTGCGCTGCTCATTCCTCCTCGCTCTCTTACCGTGCCCCTGCCTGTTACCGTGTCCCTCCCACGGAAGACCGTCCTGCACAAACTGCCCCAGCGTGGGTCCTTTCCACGGGGTGCAGTCCTTTAGGAACAGGCTGCTCCAGTGTGGGTCCTCTACATGGTCACAAGTCCTGCCAGCAAACTTGCTCCGGTGTGAGCTTCTCTCTCCAGGGGCTGCAGCTTCCACCAGGGAACATCCACCTACTCCAGTATGGGCTCCTCCATGGGCTGCAGGTGGAATGTCTGCTCCACCGTGGACCTCCATGGGCTGCAGGGATTAGCCTTCCTTACCATGGTCCAGTTCTAGGCTCACTGGTGCAAGGCAGACTTGGACATACTGAAGCAGATCCAGCAAGATGAAGATGATTAAGGGCTTGGAACATCTTTGATACATGAAGTGTCTGAGAGAGCTGAAACTGTTCAGTCTGCGTGAGAAGAAGCTCAGAGGCATCTAAGTATCTAATGGGGGAGGGTAAAGCAGGTGAAGCCAGGGTCTTCTCAGTGGTACCCACTGACAGGATAAGGGGTAATGGGCACAAGTTGAAATACAGGAAATTTCATTCAAACATAGGTAGAATCATTTTCATTATGAAGGTGGCCAGACATCGGAAGAGGCACTCAGGCAGGCTGTGCAGTCTCCATCCATGGAGATGTTCCACTCCAAACTGGACACAGCCCTGACAATGCTTTGAGAAAGGGAGGTTGGACTTGGTGTGCTCCAGAGGTCCTTTCCAACCTCTGTTGGTCCATGATTCTCTGTGACGCAAGCACCATGAAATTGGTGCAAATTTCTCAGCTGATCTCTGCCATCTTTCTTCCCAGATGTGCTTTGAGAACTGACCACTGTGGTTTCTGCTTGTGACAAGATCTTGTATGTATTTTACAGAAAGGAATATATCATGAGGCCCACCTGACACAAGAGGCAAATCACCTTCTGGCAGGGCTTATTCATTAACATGTACCCAAAGATTTACTGAACTTGGCAAGTTTCAAGTCCTGCCTTGTGTAGACAACATAAATGATCTGTTGATCATGCTTTCTGCTTTATGTTTCTTTTTTCCACGACTGCACTACTGATAGTAGCTATGCTTGGGCCTGGATAGATTTGCAAGGAAGGAAAAAAACAGAAGATTTGAAG